GTATTTATTTGTTTGTTGTAGTATTTAATTGGTTGTTTGTTGTAGTATTTAATTGGTTGTTTGTTGTAGTATTTAATTGGTTGTTTGTTGTAGTATTTAATTGGTTGTTTGTTGTAGTATTTATTTGTTTGTTGTAGTATTTAATTGGTTGTTTGTTGTAGTATTTATTTGTTTGTTGTAGTATTTAATTGGTTGTTTGTTGTAATAAACTGTGGATCTTTATTTCTGTCAGGATCGTGCACTTCCTGTTGCTCACTTCTTTCTCATCTTTATGAATGTTGGTTTTCTGCTCCTGCTGTGAGTTTATAAATCGCAGGAAGTCTCGTGATAACGTTCAGATCAGGATCCAGTTCAGGCGGTTCTGTAGTTCTGTTCAGTTTCACCTTTGCTCCACTGGTTCAGATGGGCTCAGTTGATTTCCTCCTGATATGAAGCGTCAGCATCGATGCTAATCTCTGCTGATGCGTCAGTGACTTCTCAGAAAGCGTCGCTGTCATCAGTTGAAAGTGTGACTGAAACCGGGCCGTTATCAGCCGGTCTGCTGCTGGAACCTGTCCCGGATCGTTGAGGTTCTGATCGTCTGTTTCAGGTTCATGAACACCCGGGCCTTGGCTAACTGCCGCTACCAGCCGACCTGCTACGAGCACGCCGCTAACTTCTACACACATGCTGTGAGAGCCTGTTTTACATCTTAAAACGTTCCGCTCTGATCTGATCGGACCGGACCGGATCTGACGGGATCTGATCTGACCTCCTTTCAGCTCCTGATCGTGCCGGCCTTCGTGGGCATGACGCTGCTGCACGTCCTGTCCGACAACAGCTGGGAGAGGATCACGGCCTGGGTCTACGGCGTGGGTCTGTGCGGCCTGTTCGTGGTCTCCACCGTGTTTCACATCATCACCTGGAAGAAGAGCCACATGAGGTGAGGGGGGCGGGGTTAATTAGAGAAAGACCCGTTAGTTCTGGTTAAAGGACGAGGACACGAGGCAGAGGAAACTAAAGGAAGCAGTGTGAAACTTTAACACGCCTCAGGAAGGACTTTTACTCTGTGACGCTTCTTTAATCGAGCTAAAATCACAGCAAAACTATAAAAATGAAGCCTTTCTGCTGCACTTTACTGTAGGAAGTGAATGGATGTTCTTAAATGTAATATTGTTCAAGTTCAGTTTATTTATATAGCACCAAGTCACAACATACGTTGTCTCAGGACACTGTACATAAAAAGAAC